GCGTGTATTGCCTGCATGTAGGTAAGTGCACCTGTGTCCTGCAATGCCTGCAGAGGTCAGAAGAGGCTGTTAGATCCCCTGGGACTGGAGTTACAGATAGTTGTTAGCTGCCATGTGGGTGCTGGGATTCAAACCTGGGTCTTCTGCAAGAATAACCAGTGTTCTTAACTGCTGAGCCATCTCTCTAGCCCTGGAACTGCTTTTTCTAAGGGAGGATTGAAAGAGGTTATTTTGTCTCGTGACAGGGTCTTGCTCTGTGATCCAGGCTGGCCTCAAACTCAAGATCCTCTTGCCTCAGTTTACCAAGTGCTAGGATTCTAGGTAGTCACCAAGACCAGCTAATGCAGCTCTTTATATTCGGTAGCATGGGTCACACTACCTAACACTGCCGGTACCTGTTCGTGAGCATAGGGCATGAATAGCCATGAAGATCTGTAGTTATGACCACTCTATGGCTTCTAATTCTCTGTTAGAAGAATGACCACTCATTGGCTTCTAATTCTCTGTTAGAAGCCAATGTTCATGAGGATCTGGCCTCAGACCCAGGGAGGTCAGAGCCCTAAAAGTGAATGAGTCCTGGAATCACTGTGGCTTGTGCCACTGAGTCATCTGCATGTTTGGTGAATGCTCATCACCAAAATTCAGGAAAGCTTTGTGATATTTTTGCACAGAGTTACTATAGTGATCCTAAACTGGCAGAAACTTCTATCTTTTCCCAATTGAATCCAGTTTTCCTTTAGCTAGAACAACAGGTGTTTATGAAAGCCAGAGCCAGACCTGGTGGCACAAGCATGTAGTCCTAGGAGGCTGAAGGAGGAAGATCACAGGTTCAAGGCCTACCAGAGTTGCAGAGTGGCCAGCCTGGGTGACTTAGATTCTGTCCCAAAATAAAAGTGAAAAGAGAGCTGGGGATGTAGCTTATTACTAAAGCTCTTGCCTAGCATGAGTGAGGCCCTAGGTTCAGTCCCTAGTACAGGAAGTAAAAAAAGACTTAGGCCAGAAATAGGAGCTTCCAGACAGCTCTGAAGGAGACCAGGTTGGAGAGGCTATGCAGCAGGAGGGAATCCCACTCCTGGGCAAGTGACTTGGTAGAAGGCACCTCATTTGATTTAACCCTTGTCTTCTGCTTTTAGCCCGTCAAAGATGCAGATCCTCATTTCCATCATTTCCTGCTGAGCCAAACTGAGAAGGTGAGTGCTCACTTGGGGCAGACCTGTGGACCAGTAGATTTTGCCTATGAATGCCAGAAAAACCAGCAAAGTGACAGTGTGGGCCCACGAGGGAGTCAGGTTCAGATTTTTTTTTTTTTTTTTAAGCCTATAAAACTTAGCTGTGTGTCTGAGATATTGGCAGTTGCCTTTAGAATCTAAGAAGGAGTTGGGCACACATGCTCTCAGCCCCCATGCTGCCTGGTGCCATGTCCTATGACTCCGTGGTCAGGATGGCCTTCAAGACCTGTGGTTGCAGCAGGAAGCTTTACCAAAGTTTGTGAGGCTAGGGGTTGGGCCAGCCCCTCAGAAGGATCCCATGGCAGTCTGTGGCTTTGGAGTCTGGCAGGTCCAGGTTCCAGCCTTGCTCTACTGACTAGTGCCATAACTGGGCACATGATTTGTCACCTCTGATATCCAGTGTACTGGTCAGATGAAGACCTTTACAGAGCTGCATGGAAATTGATGAGGTACTAGTGTCTCCTATAGACTCCAGAAAAATACCTCTTTGCTGTATTTACCTTCTCACTGTAGGCCTAACCTTTTAGGGAAATTACAATGACAACCTATTAACTGTTACACTTAAACAATCTTTTTCCTCCCTCTCTACTAGCCAGCTGTCTGTTACCAAGCAATCACAAAGAAGTTGAAAATATGTGAAGAGGTATGTAGGCTCCCTGCCTTCTCATTTTTATTTCACTTGGGGTCTCACAGTGAGCAAACTGCTGGATGATTATGCTTCCTGTCCCTAGGAAACTGGCTCAACCTCCATCCAGGCAGCAGACAGCACAGCTGTGAACGGCAGCATCACACCCACAGACAAAAAGTAAGATATTGGATGAGGAGGCCTCTTGGGGATTCTGGATTCTGATAGAGCTGGGGACGTGACACCGAAGTGGCCCTGAAGAATAATCAGTGTCCAGGCCACTGATAATTTGAGACTAATTTCACTTGTCATAGGCAGAAGTTATCACATACAACCCTCTTGGGGTTCTCCCCTTCAGAACAGGCTCTCAACTTGGCTCTTTAACTGCCTTTGAGTCTCTGAGGATTTCAGAAGTTCTCTGAACCTTCTAGAAAGTGGCTTGTACAGTATCATCACTAGCCTCCATCTTGGCCAGGGCTTCTCACTTGGTAGAGAAGGTGGGGTGCAGCCCCAAGAATTTGTTTCTTAGCAAGTAGCAGATCTACCCTTCGTACCACAGCTGCTCCTGCTAATTAGGAGTTACAAACAATGGATTAGTAAATCCATCATGGGATCTCCAACATTAGCCATGGCAGGAGAGATGAAGGTTTTGGGAATAAAGCCCATTGTCTTGCTTTAACCCGTTTCTTCCTCTTGTCACCTAGTCCTTCCCTTGCTCCTGCCAGCTGCTTTTTACCCTCTCTGAGGGTAAAAATTTGTTCCAGATTCACCTTTGCTCCTTCGTTATGGACCAGTTGAGTCTATAGTCACTTGGTGGAAAGGGTTTCTTTGCTAAGAGAATGTCCTGAGCAACAAAGCAAGTCTGAATTTCTAGTTTGTACCTTCCATACAGTTCTCTTTTTTAAAAAATCATTTATTATGTGTGTATATTGCCTACATGTGTGTAAATGCACCCATGTCATGCAATGCCTGTGGAGGTCAGAAGAAGGTGTCAGATCCCCTGGAACTGGAGTTAGGGACTCAGTTGTTAGCTGTCATGTGAATGCTGGGAATCGAACCCAGATCCTCTGTAAGAGCAATCAGTACTCTTACTGCTGAGCCATCTCTCCAGCCCCTTCCATAAAATTCTTATGCAGACTAAAAACAGTACAACTTTTATGATACTCTAAACTGTTGGAATTTACTAGTAAAGTGCAAAAAAGATAGGAACTTGTTAGGTGCTAATCAAAGGAGAGACAGAGTCCAGATGTGGTAGTGCACATTTGTGATCCCAGCATTTAGGAAGCTGAGGCAGAAGGATCACGAGTTCTAGGCCATCCTGGGCTGCTTAGCAAGGCCAAAACAAAAATTGGGGCTAGGGACAAATGATAGGTCTCATTTTTTTTAATAAGGATTGTATTAATTTTTTTTTTAATTATGTGTATGAGTGCATTGCCTACATGTATGTGAGCACATCCGTGTCCTGCAATGCCACAGAGGTCAGAAGAGGGCTTCTGATTCCCCTGGAACTGGAGTTAAGGACAGTTCGTAGCCCCCATGTGGATGCTGGGAATCAAACCCGGGTCCTCTGTAAGAGCCGCTGAACCAGCTCTCCAGCCCAGATTGTATTAGTTTTAACAAAGCAGGGCCAGAACAGGGATAAGGACTGAGTACTGATGCTCTCTCCCAAGACCTTGATTGTCCCCTCAGCCACAAAGCAACCAGTTCACATTAATCTACACTGACACCATAAGATCTGGTAGACTGTCATTTGTCACATTAGAAATCCAGACGCTTCATCCATAGGTCTGTTGAATTTCCTAGAACATGAAGGAAAGGAAAGAGTTAACATATCTTGATATAGAATCCTAGGGGTAATTGGACTACAGAGGGTTTTTAAATGTTTTTTTTTTTTTTTTTTTTTTTTTTTGTCTTTTTGAAGCAGGGTCTCCCTGTAGCCCCAGCTATCCTAGAACTCACTATGTAGACCAGGCTGGCCTTGAACTCACAGAGATCTGCCTGCCTGTGCCTCCCAAGTGCTGGGACTACAGGCATGCACCACCACACCTGGCTTTTACTTGTTTTTTAAACCTCAGCACAAAACCTGAGGTCTTATGGGCAAGAAACCCTGTTTTGGTGAGGAATGTGGTAGGTTTGAGTCAGATGATGTCATATATGCTGAGACTGTAAGGCTATGAGCAGTGGGAATTCCAGCCAGGAGTAAGGGGAGCCTCAGGTAAAGGAGCCATTTGCAAGGGTGACAGACACTGTGATTCTAGAAAACTAAAAGTATGGAAAGGGTGCACACAGGGTCAATGTGGGAAATCTGGAATATCAGAGAAAGCGTGGAGGAAATCCAAATAGAAAACAAGAAAAACAGAATTTCTGAATGTAGAAAAAGGAATTATTTGGCCATTTTCCCATGCAAGACAAAATAGGTGTAAGAACCAACTGGGTTCGGTGGTTTACACTGGTAATCTCTGCACTCAGGAGGCTGAGACAGGAAAATTGTTGGAAGTTTGAGGCCAGCCTGAGCTACACGTGTACTGAGCTATATATATACTTCTGGGACAAACTGGGCTACAGAGTGAGACCCAGTCTCAACAACAACAAAAAAATGGTCTGGGCTGGTCATGGTGGTACACTCCTGTAGTCCCAGCATATGGGAGGCAGAGGCAGGCAGATCTCTGTGAGTTCAAGGCCAGCCTGGTCTACATAGTGAGTTCCAGGACAGCTGGGGCTACAGGGAGACCCTGCTTCAAAAAGACAAAAAAAAAAAGGTCTGGGAGATAGCTCAGTCAATAAAGTATCTACCACTCAAACATGAGGGCCTGAATTCAATGCCTGGTACCCATGTATAAAAAAGTTGGGCGTACTGGTGCACACTTCTAATGCCAGTGCTATGGAAGCAGAAACAGGTAAATCACTAGGGGTCACTGGCCAGTGTACTTGGCAGGTTCCAGGCCAGTGAGAGATCTTGTCTCAAAAAAACAGTGAATAGTAAATGAGGAATGACACCCACAATTGTCCTCTGACCTGTGTGTGCACACACAAACACACACAGTAGAAGAACCAGAAATGACATTTGAGAAAGATAAAGGTCTCTGTTGTATATAAAGATAACAGTAATAGCAAGCATCCTCCAAGTTCTCCATGGGCAGCAAGGAGTAGGTGGAAGATGGACAAACTGTACCGTGTGTACTTTAGTCATGCGGGGTCACAAAGAAAGCATTGGGAATGATGTTTTGGGGGAGACCAGTAGGTAGGTCAAAGGTGAGAGCCTGGGAAAACAGATAGGAAGGGGCAGTGCGCACTGGTCCTAGTCCTTGAAGTTGTGAAGAGGTTGCCTGGCTCAGAACACAATGCTGCTTCTGCGACTTACAGGCTTTGGCATACTTTGTAGTGGTCTGAAAGTCTGCTGCTCAATGGGCTGATCAGGAAGCCATTCAAGAGCTGAAGATAACTGTGTACTTTGTCACTGGAGTAGAATTTGAAGCTCAGGCACTCCATTAGAGCATCAAAGGAGGGACACACAATTAAAAGATTTGTCTCAGCCATCCAAGTCATGCTTGGATCACCAAGTCTGTGGTGATCAAGGGTTTAGACATGGCCATATGCATTTAGGGTTGCTTATAGACCATGGAGGAGAAAAGGTACACTGTTGGGCTTAAGGTATAACTCAGTGGTAAAGCATTTGCCTAGCATGAAACCCTGTGTTTGATGCCTAGTACCCCAAAAGAAAAACATGTGTGATCACATCATGACTTTGTGCCACAGGAAAGACATACTTCTTGCCTGAACTGACCATTCTGTCTCTTTCAGGATAGGATTTTTGGGCCTTGGCCTAATGGGAAGTGGCATTGTCTCCAACTTGCTAAAAATGGGTCACACAGTAACTGTCTGGAACCGGACTGCAGAGAAAGTAAGTATTGAGGGTAGAGCTTGTCGGGCCTTGGAGGGTGGGTTAACTGGGGGTAGACATCTGTGTATCTCTACTCAATGTTCTGTACCCAGTAAAGCAAAAGCTGAACTTAGTCCAGGCAGGAGGATATATAGGACATTGTAGAAACTAAATATTTAAAAGTACTCAATGGGTAGCCAGATTTGGTGACACATGCCTGTAATCCTAGTACTCAGGAGGCTGAGGCATGAGGATGCTTCTGCATTTTAGGCCAGCCTAGGCTATATAGAAAGTTGACACAGTGAGACATTGTTTTAAAAATACAATAATGGGGGCTAGAGAGTTTGCTTAGCCATTAAGAACACTTGCTGTTCTCCAGAGGACCTGGGTTTGATTCCCAGAACCCACTTGATAATGGATAATAACCACCTGTAGCTCCAGTTCCAGGGCATCCAACACCCTCTTCTGGCTTCTGCGGACATTGGATGCATGTGGTGCACTTACTTATATGCAGGCAAAACACTCATATACATAATCTTTTTTAATAATTTTTTTAAAAATACAAATAATATGGGAGGCAGAGGCAGGCGGATCTCTGTGAGTTCAAGGCCAGCCTGGTCCACATAGTGAGTTCCAGAACAGCTGGGGCTACAGGGAGACCTTGTCTCAAAAAGACCAAAAAAATAATAATAGTACAAATAATAAACTGGAGAGATGCTCAGTGGTTAAGATCATGTACCTCTTCCTAAGGTGGTCCAGAGTTCAGTTCCCAATCCACCTTGGGCAGCTGAAAACCACTTTTAACTTCAGTGCCAGAGGACCTAATGCCCTCCTCTGATCTCTGCAAGTACCTGCACACATAATGCTCATACACACAGAGACACACATACACACACACACACACACACACACACACACATAAGGGCTGGAGAGATGGCACAGCAGTTAAGAGCGCTGACTGCTCTTGCAGAGGATCCAGGTTTGATTCCCAGCACCCACATGGCGGCTATGAACCATCCTTAACTCCAGTTCCAGGGGAATCCAAGCCCTCTTCTGACTGCCACAGCATTGCACAACACGAGTACACTCACATACATGAGGGCAGTACACTCATACACATAAAATAATAAAAAAAATTTTTTTTTTTTTTTGATCTTTTTGAGGCAGGGTCTCCCTGTAGCCCCAGCTGTTCTGGAAGTCACTGTGAAGACCAGGCTGGCCTTGAACTCACAAATTTATTATTATTTTTTTTAAATACAAATGCAGCTGGGTGTGGTGGCGCACGCCTTTAATGCTAGCACTTGGGAGGCAGAGGCAGGCGGATCTCTGTGAGTTCAAGGCCAGCTTGGTCTACATAGTAAGTTCCAGGTCAGCTGGGGCTACTGGAAGACCCTGTCTCAAAAAGACCAAAAAAAAGAATGCAAATATAACCTTTGGTATAAAATGAAGGCTATTTCCTCTCACCATCATGTGAGGCAAGTTATGGTGGGCTTTGTGTCACTTTTTCATGTATGTACATGTGTGTGTTGCATTAGGGGAATATAGTAAGTATTGTTGATATGGAACACGTAGGCAGATCAGCGCCATCCTTTTTGGTTTGGTTTGGGGTTTTTTTGTTTTTGTTTTTTCCTTTTTCTAAAAAAATACTTTATTTTTATTTTATGTATATGAGTGTGTTGTCTGAGTGTGTGTAAGTGCACCTGTGTCGTGCAGTGGCCACAGAGACCAGAAGAGAGCATTGGATCCCCTGGAACTGGAGTTACAGATGGTTGGTTGTTAGCCTCCATGTGGGTGCTGGGATTTGAACCCCAGTCCTTTGCAAGAACAGCCAGTGTTCTTAACTGCTGAACCATCTCTCCAGTCCCTGGTTTTGTTTTTTTGTGACAGGGTCTCTCTATGTATCCCTGGCTGGCCTGGGATTCACTTTGTAGACTCAACTGGCCTCAAACTCTCAGAAATCCACCTACCTCTGCCTCCCAAGTTCTGGAACTAAAAGTATGCACCACCACACCTGGCAGCTTCAACTTGTAATGGTTGCACCATATCTGATGTGTGGCATACACTGAGCAGTTGTAAAGCAAGGTATTCTGTGATAGATTGCTACTGTGTCTGCTGCCTGGTCGGGGAGCCACTGTATGCCACTGGCTCTGAAACTGAAATGTGGCTAGTATAGCTACAGAGTTGAATGTTTGATTTTATCAAAACTTAAGAGGCTATGTTGGGCTGCTTATGGTTTGTTTGTTTGGTTGGTTGTATGGTTGGTTTTGGTGGGGGGTTTTTTTGGTCTTTTTGAGACAGGGTCTCCCTATAGCTGAAGCTGGCCTTGAACTCACAGAGATCTCCCTGCCTCTGCCTCCCAAGTACTGGGATCAAAGGCATGCAACACCACACCCAGCAAGGGCTGCATATGTTTAGACATTCTTTTTATATTTCTATTACATTTATTTACATTTATTTTGTGTATGTATATGGGTACACGTGTACAGGTGAGAGGACATGTTTTCAGTGTCAGTTCTCTCCTTCTATTATGTGGGTTCCAGGGATTGAACTCGGGTCATCAGCCTTGGTGACAAGCACTTTTACCTCCTGAGCCATCTTACTGACCTTGTTTCAAAGTCTTACCTAAGGTGGTATTGTGACTTCAGGAGCCAGTGTGTATCCAGAAATGGAATTCCGGATCTTAATGTGCACCTTCTCTAGTGGAGAGAGGCCATGACTCCCATCATATTCTCCTCTAAGTGAAGCAAAGTGAGGACCAGAGACCCAGAGTGGTTTCTTCCTGAGACATGTGGTGTGCTTAAGCATACATTTGTGAGCTTGCCCATGTGTTCACAGTGAAGTACTGTTGGCCCCATGACTGATAAGTAACTACAGGGCTGAAGTGAGAGCTGATTGCTGAAGAAGGTGCTGGAGCTGAATGATGGCACTGGATTAACAGAAATATTCTAAGACCTGAAATGGAGGTTGGTTCTAGAGCAAGGTCCTGGATTCCTTCACCACCACCACCCCCAAATTGTTTTTTTGCTCGATCAAATGCTTTTCAAGAATAGAGAAACGACTGGTTCATTGAGAGGCCTGGGGGAAACAAGTGCCAAAGGTTGTTCAAGCCTCAGTTGAGGAGCATTGGGTAGGTGCTATGAGGACCAGATAAGATCCTAAGGCTCCTCTTAGGAGCTTTTGTGGCTCCATCATTCTTCTAAGGACTGTTACTGCTCTAGGTGAGAGGAAGCAGGATATCTGGGCATGTGTGCCGACAGGAATGTTTCCCCTTGATAGAAGTGCCTCTACCTGCCCTCTTTCTTGATTAGATAACTTGAGCAGGAAAATGATGCATCTAAGGATTTAGGTTAGAGTCAAACAGACCCAAATTCAAGTCACAGACGTGGTGTTTACCTTCCTTCCTGGGCAAGACAGTCTGCTTGTCTGCACCTGTGGGAAGTACAAAGCAAGCACTTGATTAAAAGTGGGTGGCAATAGATAGAGGTGGTCTAGAATATTCAACCCCAGACCCAGCAGAGACTATGTTGGAAAGCCATTCTAGGGGCTAGAGAGAATGGCTCAGAGGTTAAGAACACTGTTCTTGCAGAAGACCCGGGTTCACATCCCAGCACCCACGTGTCAGCTAACTACTGCCCATAGCTCCAGTTCCAGGGGACCCGACAGTCTCTTCTGCTCGCCTTGGGCATTGCACAACATGGGTGCACTTACCTACATGCAGGCATACACACATACACATAAAGTAAAAACAATAAAGAAAATATTTGAAAAAGAAAAAGCTGTTCTATCCCATAGCAATCCCCTTGGAATCTGCTTTTAAAGCTGTTGATAAAATGGTCCTCTAAAATAATAAATAAAATATTTGAAAAAGGAAAAGCTGTTCTATCCCATAGCAATCCCCTTGGAATCTGCTTTTAAAGCTGTTGATAAAATGGTCCTCTGAAGCTATAGAGATGCTCAGTGGGTAAAGGTGCTTGCCACCAAGACTGTCCATTGAGTTTGATCCCCAGGACCCATAATGGAAGGATAGATTCCAGCAGGTTGTCCTCTCTCTCTCTCTCTCTCTCTCTCTCTCTCTCTCTCTCTCTCTCTCACACACACACACACACACACACACACACACACACACACACACACACACCCCACACACATATTACTAAGTAAATAAATGTAAAGAAACCTTTTTTGTAAATAATCCTGTAACCAGGTGCACATGCCTATAGTACCAAGCGCTGAGGTAAGAGGATTCCTTGAGCCCAGGCATTCCAAGTGCACTAAACTGCCAGACTGCTCTACATAGCACAGCAAGACCCCCAGCTCAAAATAACAACAAAATGGAGTGATCCACTGGTGCTTCTGGAATAACAAGAAATGTGGTTTTCATTTTTTAAAAAAGGAACAGTATGGCCAGGTGTGGTGGCGCACACCTTTAATCCCAGCACTTGGGAGGCAGAGGCAGGCGGATCTCTGAGTTCAAGTCCAGCTGAGGCTACAGGGAGACCCTGTCTCAAAAAGACAAAAAAAAAAAGGAGCAGTAAATTTGGGCATGGTGGCTCATGCCTTAGGCAAAAGGCTCGCCATGAGTTCAAAGTCAGCCTAGTATACCTAGCAAGTTCCTGAGCCAGCCTGAGCTACAGATCAAGACACTGTAAACAAAATATATAGGGCAAGTGGTTTTTCTGTTACTGCTATGCCCACTGCTCTTGTGTGGTATACCACATAGACCTATTTTCCTCTCCAAAAAGTAAATAATTGGGTCTGGGGAGATGGCTCAGTCAATAAAGGACTTGCCAATGCACTCAAGTCCTGAGTTCAAATCCCTAGCACCCATGTAAAAAGCTGAACATCTTACTGGGCACCTGTAATCCCAGCATAGAGGAGGCAGAGACAGGAGGATCCCCGGAGCTTGCTGAGTCATCTGTCCAGTTGGTACACTCCAGAGTCAGTGAGAAATCCTGTCACAAATTTTAAGAAAGAGAAACTGGCAGGATGGTACACATACGTACATAACCATAAAATAAATTAAAATTTAAAATATTGCTAATAAAGGTAAAAACTAATTGAGAAAGACACTAGATGTTGATTCCTGGCTTCCACATACATGTACACAAGTATCCACACACATGTGCAGCCATAAACATGGACACACAAATTTAATTAAAATTTAAAAGGTAGGACACTTGGGAGGCAGAGGTAGACGGGTCTCTGTGAGTTCAAGGCTAGCCTGGTCTACATAGTGAGTTCCAGGCCAGCTGGGGCTACAGGGAGACCCCGTCTCAAAAAGACCAACAAAAAAAAATCTAAAAGGTAGGACCCATAGTGAGGAGAACCCTCTTACATGGGTGAGAAGTATAACCTAAAGTTCATTACTGGATGATTGCCATAGAGCCTCCACCCTGCAAGTACACTGGGCAGTCTTGGACTCTAGCAAGGGAGGCTTACTGTCAGGGAGGAATAGCAAAGGGAAGGCTGCTTAGAAAAGTGTTTTCATGACAGCCAATTAGAAATTTTCAAAGATGATATTCCTACCACTTAGTAAAATTTATTCCACATCAGTTACTAGCTTTATTCTTTGTAAAGAACAACAAACCAAAAAATAAAAAATAAAATGAAACAAAACTGAATATTTAGATTTTTCGAGTCTATAAGCAATCAAAATTGAAGAAAAATATCAGTAATTTATTCACCTGAAACAAAAAGTAAACATTGAAAGGTCTACCAACTAGAAATACTTGTGATCATACAAGTATATAAGAAAAGGCAAATACGGACTGGCAAGATGCAGGTGAAGGTGTTTGCCACCAAGCCTGTTAATCTTATTTTGATCCCTGGGACTCCAAAAATTACCCCTTTTTAAAAATATTTATTTTTTTTATTTTATGTATATGCGTGTATTGCCTGCACGTATGGAAGTGCAGTGCCCGCAGAGGTCAGAAGAGGGCGTTGGATCCCCCTAGAACTGGAGTTACAGACAGTTCTTAGCTGCCTTGTGGGTGCTGGGATCTGAACCTGGGTCTTCTACAAGAACATCCAGGGTTCTTAACCACTTAGCTATCTCCCCAGCTCCGTATATTACCCCTTTTTTATTTGTTAGTTTTGTGGTTTTCTTTTCCTAAAAAAAAAAAAAAAAATTAGGATTTTTGGGTTGGTTTCTTTGGGGGATTTTTTTGTTTATTTTTTTGGGTTTTGTTTTCTGGGTTTTTTGAGGCAGTCGCATAGTAGTCCACATTCTGTAGACCAGGATGACCTTGAACTCTTGACAATCCTCTAGCCTCAGTCTCCTGATTTATAGGAATGAGCCACTGTTCCATACTTTGTATTTGTAAAGATACTTGTTGTTGTCACATATAATTAAAGATAAAGTCAAACAAGGGAGCCATTGGGTACCTTAAAGTTTATCTGAGGCCAGCAAGATAGCTCAGTAAGAATAGATGCTTGCCACCAAGCCCAACAACTGGAGTTTAGTCCCTGGGATCCACATGGTAGAGGGAAAAAACAGACTCCCACAGGTTATCCTCTGACTTTCACATGCACTCCTTATACATGCACACACGGAGAATTAATTTAGAAAGTTTAAAAAAAAAAGTTATCTGTCAGCCTTTAAGCCTAGCACTCTGGAGGCAGAGGCAGGTGGATCCCTGTGAGTTCAGGGTCAGCCTGGTCTACATAGTGAGTTCCAGGTCAGCTGGGCCTACAGAGAGACCCTTTCTCAAAAAGACCAAAAAAAAATTAGCTATCCATGAAATTTTCTACAGTCAACCACTATCATGAAAATTATAAAGGACCATAATGATATGGATAAATGTGTATCATACAAAACATTAAAAACTTGCTTACAAAATAGTATGCTCAGATTATTCTGATTATTTCAACTGCTTATGAAAAGAAGAAATAGTCTGTTTTATTATAGGATATTCTGGGTGATTTTAGCTTTTAGAGAAGTTAGAAGTTTGAGACCCTGAGAAGTGCTGACTGCAGGGTTTGGAAGCAGTCCTGTTCATTCCCCCTGTAAATGCTGGTTTTGCCACAGCTCTGCCAGAACTGAGGGGCTAGGCACAGGTTCTCTTGACATCCTGTTCCTCAAACTGACAGCCTTCAGCAGACACTTTGTGTTGTCACTCTATATGCCATGTTCACAAAAACACAGGACAGTCTGCTCTAAGGGTCCCTGCCCTCTTAATTAATTTAAGAGGTCAGACTTCCAACTCTGGTGTCCCAGGGCCCCAGCCTGAGCCTCCTTTGGGGAGGCTGGCCGGGAGATTGATTGGTCTACATATCTCTGGCCTGGCCGGCATGTTTGTTGTGCACTGCATGCAGCTCACATTAGGATCTGTGACTTTTGCAGTGTGATTTGTTCATCCAGGAGGGGGCCCGCCTAGGAAGAACCCCCGCTGAAGTCGTTTCAACTTGTGACATCACTTTCGCCTGTGTGTCGGATCCAAAGGCAGCCAAGGACGTAAGGATCCCTTTCCCCTCGAGTCTCAGGCCACAGCCAGAAGAGCTAGCTGGCCTCCTCCCCTTCTCCCCTGCACACTGAGTGAGTGTCTGCATGTGGGGGGATTTCCCATTGGCAAAGGTGTTTGTCAGAGTTGAATACAAGCTTCCTTTAGTTCAGAACAAAGATTGAAAACTACTAGGGTCCTTGACATCTGTTCTCAAACAGTTTCTGAATGAGTTCCAGGTATTCTGTTGAGCTGGACTGTTTGGGGCTGAGTGTGCCTTGGTCCAAGGGCCAATTCCTATGTTAGCTATTGCTGAATTTATATGTGTTACAAATCCAAATGCAGTAGTCATCTTATTAAACTAGTGACTGATCTAATCAGGTACATCCAAGAAGCTTCCAAAATAAATAATGAAGTTCTGTCATTTAAGAGGGGAAAATAAAGGGGAATGGGGCTAGAGAGATAATGGCTCAGCAGTTAAGAGCACTGGATGTTCTTACAGAGGACCCAGGTTTGAATCCCAGCACCCACATGGCAGCTGGCAATTGTCTGCAACTCCAGTTCCAGGGGATCCCAGACCCTCCTCTGACCTCTGTAGTCATTGCATGACACAGGTACACTTACATACATGGCAGGCATAACACTCATACACATAAAATAAAAATAATTTTAAAAATTAAAAAAATAGGCCAGGCGTGGTGGTTTGTTATTTTTATTTTATGTGTATGAGTATATTGTCTGCATGCATGCCCATGTTGTGCAATGCCTGTGGAGGTCAGAGAGGGCGTCAGATTCCCTGGAACTGGAGTTAACCAACCAGTTGTTAGCCCCTACATGGATGCTGGGAATGGAATCTAGGTCCTCAGCAAGAAGGTATCAGT